ATTGAATAGGTAAAGAATGATCATTACCAATAATGACTCGAGTAGAACCAGTATAAGGTTTTGAATTAGTAAGAGTACCTTGAGAGGGAGTTATAGTGTTACCACAAGCAGTGTCCATATACCAGGAGAAATCAGCAGATGGGGGAATAGAAAGGCGATTATTGTGACCCCCAAAGTAAGCGGGCTGTTGAAATTGATAGCAATCTCGAGCAGAGTGATGGAATTGATTGCACAATTGGCAACGAACAGCAGTGGGATTGGACTGAAAAGAGGGAGTCGGACCAAGAAGAGAGGGAGCACGTTGCCTGGGAGTAAACATAGGAGCTGTATAAGAGTTAAAAGGTGCAGAAAACGAGGAGAGATACTGACCAAAAAATTGGTTGCGTCCACGCCCACGGCCACGTCCCCGATTATTCTGAAAACCGCGACCCCTGCCACGACCATGATTGGAAAAAGGCTGCTGTTGAGAAGGGGTATTGGACTGCTGCTGTAGAAGGTCAGTGGAAGATGCCGCGACCAGAGCGTTGGTAGCCGTGGAGAGGGAAGAAGGAGCAGTGTGCTGAAGTTGCACTTCATGCAGGAAGAGCATTGATCGAGTTTCAACAAAGTTGGGTAAAGGAACGCGGATGGCTAATGGTAGTAGAGACAGACTGGTAGGTCGAAGGAAGACCAGCCAGAATTTGAAGCACCAAGTCATCGTCGGAGATGGGAGAACCGACGGCTGTTAATGAATCAGCCAACATCTTAAACTTGGTAACATACTCATTAATGGTTAATTCCCCTTTCTTTAAGATATGAAACTCCAATTTCAATTGGAGAAGGCGAGAACCAAGCTGATCGTGGAAGAGTTTCTCAATGTTGAGCCACGCATCGCGGGCAGTAAGGGAAGAATTGGGCTGAACAATGGCTTGCAAAATTTCGGTGGAAACAGTGGCTTGGATCCAGGAGGGGACAATGGAGTCAATTTGGGTCCAAGTTTGAAAAGCAGGATTTGGAGTCGATGAGGAAGTGCCGTTCAGAGGCAGTGAGAGGTGATGGAGGACAAGAATCGGAGCCATCGATATGACCAATCACGGCATGTCCGCGAAAGACAGGAAGAAAAAGCTCTTTCCATAGCATGTAGTTTGTGAAATTCAGAACGGGAGTCACATAATTCTTGATGTTAGAGAGACCAATAACCGGATGAGAAGGTGGTGTCGGAAAAGAATTGGTTATCATGGCCTCGGTTGATTGAAGATCAGTATGTTGAGAGACAGCAGAGGTCACAGCAGAGTTTGTCATGGCGGCAAGGAGGCAAAACCGAAGAAGAAGGGTTTAGGGTTTAGGGTTTTTTGTTTTGTTTTTTTTTTGTTTTTTTTTTTTTTTTGAAAAAACCGAAAAAGGGTGGAAGAAGAAAGAGCCAACTGATGATGATGATGATGATGCAAAAGAGAGTTGGCTGATGCAAAAGGTAAAAGAAAGGTTGTGTGTGTGTGTGTGTGAGTTGGCTACAACAGGGAGGTGCAGCCGGAAACAATAGAAACAGCAAGCGGCCGGAAACAGTAGCAGTAGCAGGCAGCCGATTCAGGCAGCAGCCGGAATTAAACAGCAGCAACGGCTGAAGAGAGAACAAGAAACAGCAGAGGATGTGCAACAGCAAAAGATGATGAACAGAGCGGATTAACAGCAGCAGCAGCTGAAACTCAACAGAGGAATTTGGTGAAGGTCGGAAATCAACAGACACGGCCGAACAGGAAGAGAGCAAGCAGAAGATGAGTAACAGCAGCAGCCGGAGATAGGATGATAAATAGCAGCAGCAGCAGCCGAAGGGAGAGTTTGGGTGGTGGTGATGGAATTTAGTGCGACGGCGGGTCGGCGGAGAAGAAAAGAAAACGCAGAAACCCTAAAAAAATTGAGAGGCCAGGAAAGAAGGATGATACCATTAAAGAATTATTGTGTATGTTATTCACATGATACATTGTGGTATTTATAGTACAATAGTGTAACAACCCTAGCCGTCTACATAGGAAACCCTAATTAGGGTTTTGATTATTTTCCTATTCTATCACTTTTGATTGTTATGAAATATTTTTAAGATTTTTTTGTCAATTAAAAATGCATACTAGGTGAAACTTAAAACAAATCAAAATGTCTTATATTAAGGCCGGAGGGAGTATTAAGCAGTGAAAAGGAAAACAATATATTCAAAAACATTTGGGAAACAAAGTTTAACAAATCATAATTGTGAGGGCAACCCAATCAAAAATCATAATCACCACCCTAATGAGACTGAAACAAAACCAACCTATCAGATGAATTTTAGTCTTGAAATTTTGATGTGGCGGGCACATTGGAGACTAATCTGAAAATAAACTGCGTCCCCACCATCTGACCTATAAATTCAAGTGCATTTTCTCACAAACAATTTAATTTTACCAATATTTGACCAATATTTTACTATTCTCCTAGTACTACTACCACAGACACAAATGGGATTAATTTCAGTAAGAATTTTCTCATCAGAGGACGTTATACCTTTAACTACGAGATTGAAGATTCGATTCTTACCGCGAATGCGAGAAGGATGCAGTTGAGAGAGGAAGTAGGTAGCTGACCAACAGCCTGCTTAAAGACCTGCCATTATCGACCATGAAAACCGAACAGTCCGAACAAGAGGCGCACGCAAATAGAGTCTCCTCCTTATAGTGCTACCTCCTTTTCCAGTAGGCTCTACCACGTTATAATAGTCTCGGTATCTCTAACTTACTAATAGTTGCAGCCTAAAAAAAATAATAAAATAAATTCTCATCTCCTCTATGATGTTAATATAGACATTTTGTTGTGTGACATACTTTTATTTATTTTACAGAACTTTATTATTCTTAGAGGGGAAAAGTTTAATCACAATATCACGAGTTTGCAACTAAAGAAAAAAAAAACACTTGTATATTCGTTTGCCTTTTAAGCAAGCTTGTTACGAGGAGGAACGCCAAATTATGAATATTGTTCTTGTAATAATTTTATGATTAATTTTTTTTTATGTAATATCATCTAATTTTTAATAATTAACTCTTTCTATATAATTCAGTAGTATAATTTGTAAACCTAAAATAACACCATAAAATAGATTATTAAAGAAAAATAGAAGAAACACCTTACTTGTAATAAACAACGATTGAATTTTAAGCAGACAAACAAGAAATGTACATGTGTCAAATTATAGGAACTGTTACAAGCTGGATATATATGTTGTTGTGGCCAAATTATCACCAAAGCTAGGTCAATATATAGAGGGAACACATTTCATAGTCTTGGTGGAAATTGTCTATTTTGTTGGTGAATTAATGGTGAGTGTGGTTGAGAGCATTCATGAAATTTGGAGGCAAGTCTTTATCAAAATTAATAATTTGTTTCCCCCTTAAGAGTGATATAGCAGTGTCCATTCCATATGGCTTGGGAAGTAAACAAAATAAATTGAAAAAATGACGAGTCTTTTCCTTAGCTCTCTTGTCCGTTATTAACATTTGATTGCTTGTTTCTTCATGCAAAAACTAGATAAATTTTAAAAATTGTTCCGGACCACTTATTATTTTGTGCTCCCTCTGTCTCAAAATTATTGTCCAGTTTGAGATTTCATTTTAATACAATTTGAACTAGAAATGAAAACTCAAAGTGGATAATAATTATGGGATGGATGGAGTAAAAGTTTATTTTGTTATAAAAGCTCAAACTAACTCACGTTTAAGTGTGTACAAATTCACGAAATCTAGTTAAAGAAATAGAAATTGGTCGAGGGAAAGTGACAAAGTTAGATTTTTTTTTTCACAAAAAGGTGAAATTTATAAAAATAACTAATAACATTACAATAGTTTTGAAAATGAGTTATATATATTAAATTAATACTAAAAATTTAACTCTCTAATTACTATTAACCAAAAAAATAAAAAAGAAATAAAAACATTGCGACGCTTAGTGACATCGATGCCAGTGGTAAAAAAAATAAAATTGAATGGCATTGCATTTTCTTTCAAGTTAGAAAAAGACACATGGATTTCATTAGTTTAACCTAAGGCATTATGTTGGGAAACGGACGATAGGCTTTCCTAATTTTAATTTGGCCATATGACGACTGGTTGGTACTTTTGTTTTCTATTTTTGGTAAGGATGACATAACAAAATGAATGAATAGCTAACTCTGGTATCTATAAATATATACTTTTTTTTTACCATTAACGTAACGGCTTTTGGTTGTTTGATTTAAAAGCCAAATAATTCATGAGAGCAACGTGATTCGCCTAAACTTAAATGAAAAATTGTCCTGAAAAAATAATGTACTTGATTTGTTGAAACTAAAATAGTACAACAAATTAAATTATTTTTTTCGGAACAGAAGTTGTACTTAATTTGTTGAAAGTTGGATTTTAGTACTATTATCTCCATTTCTTCATTGTCAATCTAAGGGTTTAACTAGGGCCAAATTCATTGTTTGCTCTTTGTTTTCTATAGTGTTACAATTATAAATTAGAGTCATTTTTAGGAAACTTTGATGTAATACTATTCCCGTCTCAAAAGTAAAAGTTCTCTTTATTTTATAGTTTGTGTTTAATTAAATGAATTATTTTTTACGAAACAATAAAAACAATAATTTGAAGAAATACACTACTCCAATGGTCGAAGGTAAAAAAAAAAAAAAAAAAATCCAAAAAACAAAAGTCCATGAACTATTCAATATTCAATGTTCTTTAATGTGTATCTTTGTGTAAATACGTCAATAAACAAGTCAATGATGAAGATATATCCATCGCGGTCGTTTTTTAGGTTTTCCTCTTGTACGTTTCTGGTCAATTACCACTACTACTACAAAATTTCACTTAAAAAGTCAAAACTTTATCAAACAGTAAAAATGTTCTTTTCCTTTTCAACAAACAATAATAAAATAATAAAATCAATTATAAAGGAAAAACATAACATAAAACAATTCCTTTGGCGTCACATACACATAGTCACGGTGTCACCCGCACACACACAGTCACACAGTGACACAGACACAGCCACACGGTTTGACCCATTTTAATTAATGCCATGCATTAAAAGATTCTGGTTAGCCTTTTCTTGTCCTTTTTAGCAAAGAAGACTCTGCAAACTGCAAAGAAAGAAATTAATTAAGAAACAAATCTTCCACAGACTGATTACAGAAAGAAAGAAGATTAGATTATGAGCCGTTCTTGTTGTACAAAAGTTAGTACTACTAAATTACTACTGTCTAATTGTCAAAAACTGCTAAAACCCAATATTTTTCTCAGGCTTAAAGACAATGGGTCCAGCTGTAAGCTTCAGTTTAGTCACAAGTCTGTTTTAGAGAGACAAAAAATGTGTTAGAAAATTTTTTTGTTTGGAGGTTTGGCAGTGATACACAGAGAGAAAGGGTAACCCAAAAAGCTCTTCTTTTGTGGGCTTTCGGTTTTGGGTGTCTCAGAAAAGTGGATTTGATTTGTTCTTATTTTCTGGCCTTTTTCTGTTGAGTTTATCTTGTAGTTGATTCGTTTTGTTCTTTGTCTTCAATCCCTGTTTTGGATCGGATTTGAAGATTTGTGAGCTGGGTTTGGCCTTTGATCTCTGTATTTGGAGAGGGATTATTCATTTTGGTTTTTGTTTCTGGTTCTTGATTCTTGATTAGATTTTACATGTGATACTGTTTATCTTGGAATGGACCAAACAATTGAGAGGTCCCCAAACGCAAACAGAGGCTTCCGAGTTCAAGCTCCACTGGTGAGTTTTTACTGAGTTCTTCTTTAATCTTTGTTCTGGTGTAATTGTTGTGATGGATTCCTTTACATAACAGCTCAGATGAAATACTTGTTAACAATTCAATCTTTGGTAGAATTTTGCCCATTTGATGGGCATCTTATGAGGATTTAAAATTTTCTCAGCTTGGTTTTTCTAATTCTATTGTGTTCCTAAGGGAAGCTTCGTTTACTGGTTTTGGATCTCAACTTGGACTATGGTCCCTTCGTTTCTGCAGTTGAATGAGTTCTAAAGGGTAATGTGCATTTTTTTGCTCTTAACCATGATACTCGGATGTTATTCTGTGTTACTTTTTTGGAAATGACCTAGTCGAATTAGTCTGCAATCAATTGCTGGTGAGAGTTGACTGTTATTTGCTGTTTTAAAGGAATCCTCTGAATTGCTGCTGTCGACTTCTTAATTTACTATGCAAATTTTAACGATATAGTTGTAATAGGTTGTTGATTGTGTTGTGATGCATATTCTATAGAGTATATGCCTGAACCAATTTCCTTGTTTTCTTCACTAACTCTGTTGAGTTTCACTTTGAGTTTCTGTTCCCCTTTAGGGGTGTCTGCATTTGCTTTTCAAACTAATTCTAGCTTTTGACTTCCAAAACTCAGTTGTGCTGGTCAATGTATCAATTGCGGATTTATGCCATATGGTCATGCCGTCTTAATGTGATTTGTTTAGCTACGCTGATGAAGCTGTATCATTATATCTGGTGGCTTTGGATTCTCATTTAGAACTATGAGCTAAAAGTGTGCTATTTGATCAATTACTTTTGCGAGATGCTCAACTCTATGATTAACTAAATATTCTTAGTTTTTTGTTGAGTTAAATCTGGCCGCAATCTTGATTCATGATTTTTGGGTATACATGCAATCATTATACCTCCTAACTCTGCTTAGAATGTATTTGTGAGAATATTGATATTCGGCGCCTGGACACATGATTAAGATAATATGATATGCTGAAACATTATGTTTGAAATGAACTAAGTGAAGGGTATGGTTCTCTAATGAAACATTATGTTTCACTTTGGCAGTGTATGGTGTCATGATATGTAGTCTATGGTGTCATGATATTCATCCTGTTGTTTGCTTCTCTTCGGCCTACCTTTATTTGGTCTAATGGATCTTTTCTTGTACATAAGCATCTCCTTTTCGGAGTCCTTTGCTGGATTCTGGTTGGACTTATTGCAACTGACAGTGGTGGAACAATGAGATTGAGATAGGTCGAGCTGTGAGAAGTAGGTGGTAATATATGGACTATTATTGATTGATCCATTTGTGTGGTTCGCTCTAAAGGAGAGCAATTGTGTGAAATTTTATTTATGATTGACTTCTATGAACTTCTTATTGATCAAGCTTATAGTTAATTTTAATGGATTTTATGCCTTCTTAGTATCCTCGGTAAACATAACATCCACATGTGTGAGATGGTGGTGTTTGATGAAGAACTTGTCTAGATAGTCTAATTGAGTGTATGAAGCTCCTAAGTTATGTACCGGGGTACCATAGCAATTTTATTCACCTTTTTCTGTAGCCTGGTTTGCTTCACGATTGAATGAGCAAATGAACCGCTTTTTCCACGATTTTTGCTGCATGCTTTTCATTTTCTTGATCAATAAACTGAATGAACATTCAATTGCAGGTTGATTCTGTATCATGCTATTGCAAGGTTGATGCTGGCTTAAAAACAGTTGCTGGGGCAAGGAAATTCGTTCCAGGTTCCAAACTTTGCATTCAACCTGATATTAATCCGCGGGCACACAAGACTAGGAATTCTCGCAGGGAGAAAACTCGTGTACAGCCTCCCCTCATTCCTGGACTTCCTGATGATCTTGCCATTGCCTGCTTGATCCGAGTCCCTCGTGTTGAGCACAACAAGCTTCGTCTAGTTTGCAAAAGATGGTACCGTCTTCTAGCTGGAAATTTCTTTTACTCTCTGAGGAAAAGTCTTGGAATGGCAGAAGAGTGGGTCTATGTAATAAAAAGGGACCGTGAAGGACGGATTTCATGGCATGCATTTGATCCGACCTACCAACTTTGGCAGCCACTTCCTCCTGTTCCAATAGAGTACAGTGAAGCCCTTGGATTTGGCTGTGCCGTTCTTAGTGGGTGTCACCTGTATCTTTTTGGAGGGAGAGATCCTCTAAAGGGTTCTATGAGACGGGTAATCTTTTATAGTGCTCGGACAAATAAATGGCACAGGGCACCTGACATGCTACGTAAGCGTCATTTTTTTGGCTCTTGTGTTATCAATAATTGTCTTTATGTTGCTGGTGGTGAGTGTGAAGGAATCCAAAGAACTCTTCGTTCAGCTGAAGTTTATGACCCTAACAAGAATCGGTGGAGTTTTGTTGCTGACATGAGTACTGGAATGGTCCCTTTTATTAATGTAGTTTATGATGGGAAGTGGTTCTTGAAGGGATTGGGCGCTCACCGGGAGGTTTTGAGTGAAGCCTACATCCCTGAAACCAATACATGGACTTCAGCCCATGATGGGATGGTGCCTGGTTGGCGCAACCCAAGCATCTCTATGAATGGAAAACTTTATGCTCTAGATTGCCGTGATGGTTGCAAGCTTAGGGTTTATGATGAATCTGCGAATTCTTGGATCAGATTCATGGACAGCAAGCTGCACCTAGGTAGTTCACGTGCTTTGGAGGCTGCTGCTCTTGTCTCCCTTAATGGGAAGCTCTGTATAATTCGAAACAATATGAGCATTAGCATGGTTGATGTCATGAGTCCTGATAAACGAGTAGAGAATAATCCTCATCTATGGGAAAACATTGCAGGTAGAGGTCATATAAGAAATTTGTTCACGAATTTGTGGTCAAGTATTGCTGGACGGACTGGTTTAAAGAGTCACATTGTGCATTGTCAGGTGCTTCAAGCATGAGAAAGGCCTTCTAATACTGGTACTGCCTATCTTATACGTAATGATTTTTCAGAAAAGCAGATGCAGTTTGTCAAGGAAAGACTATTCGTTGTATTCTTTTCAAATCAAATCATTGATTCAACTTTCTTGAACTTTGTGGTGGTTATACATTTTTTTCGAAGATGGATCTGTCATGAGTGTAATGACCTGCATCTTTGAAGGGAATGGTGCTCACATCCAGAAGAGTTCTTCCATTTATATTCCCTACTTGTTTTTCTTGAAAAAGGAATACGAAAGAGACTTCATTTATGACATGGTGCAGATTTCTTCAACTAGTTATGAGGCCATTTATTTAGTTCAATTATGAGGTGGCGGAGCAGGTAGATTTTTGACTTTGTACACATTTTTCTTCTGGTTTGGATAAGTGGGAGGAGTTAGTACATGATCTCATGTTGTTTAGGTGATAGAATTGGATGATCCTTTGTGAATATTGATATTAGGTTGTCAAACTCTGATGTTGTTTTACATCACGTCTGTTATATGAAATTTATTTCCTTTTGGTGGACTGAAACTGCTGTTTTGCTTTCTTCCTCCTTTCCTATTCTTTTGAATTAAAAGTTTCTTCACAAAATACGACTAGTATGTGACTCAGATTGCAATCTCATGCATTACCTCTGATCTGAATTAGTCTGAATGCATCAGGCCAAACATTCAACAGAAAAATGGATGTTTCACTCTAGGAACGGGAAGAGCATATGAATTTCCCGGGTGTAATGGTAATACATGATCGTGCTTGAATGTTCAAAATCAATCTTACAGTGCAGTTTATTGAACAGAGAATACACCAAAGATTGATATTTTCATGAACATGGACTTTGGAGACCAATATTTTTCCACATACTTCAAAGTATTAGCCACCTGAAAAATTTTATCAAGCTTGTGCTCCAACTCCAAATAAAGAAAAGTATGATTACAAATACTGCAGAATTTTATTTGAGCATTTGCTACCCAAGCAAGGAGACAATTAGAGTAGGGAAGAAAATCAACAACGGATCTAGAAGTAATTGGTTGTGTAAAAATTCTTCAGGAATTCAGAGTTGCCTTCATCCTTGGTTCCCAAGTCCTGCACTTGCCCCTTATTTCCAACAACATATTGACCTATAATGTGGTGTCTCTGCTTAGAATGATCCACAATGTCCTTAAGTTCTTCCATTGCTTTGAAAAGCAGCATGTCAATAACCTGCAAATTAAGTCCCGAAAAATTAGAGACAGACTTACCTCAGGGATGCAAGATGCAGATATAAAAGTATTCAGAACAGATGCATGTACATCTAAACTAAAATTTGTCACATAGCATACTTAAATGTGGTTATATCTACAATCCCTCCAAATACATGTAACAGTTTTATGTATCTGGAGAAGTAGGACGCTAGCCCAGGGGATACACTGCATAGCTGCAAATTTGCTCCTCCAAATCCACAGATTATATATGAACGTGATAGCAATGTAATTTGACTCTAGTAGATGAAAGTGATTTAAAATACTGTTGATAAAGGTTCATAAACAGCCCACAAATCAAATATTTACCGAAAGGGAGAAGTCCAATTTTCTTTCCTAATATTAGGTCATAAAGCAACAAGGACAAGGTACAGAGTCTCTGTCTTACATATAACAACAGAATGGGAAGAGTGTTCATTTCAAGGTGGAAACATAAAAATTTATCAACCAGTAGATATGAAATGATATCTTGCTTACAAGATAGCTCATTGAGAATTCTACCGATGAAAGTATCATAATTCATTTGACATTCACATCAAGTTCTCAAGCTGGAGAGCCAATGAAGTCTATTATATCATAATTTCTTCCCACACCTCAAATGTGTAAATGGCATCCCTTGAAGAAATTTCATTAGGCCATTGTCCACTTTAGGTCCAAAAGAATTGCTGATTAACAGTCAACAGAAAGTTTCTAAATATCCAACAGCGATTGCTAATGCCTAAGTCCCCAGGTGAGAGGTCCACAAAATCCATTTTTAACAAGCAATCATAGTGCCATGTAATAATCTATCTAAAAAATTATGAAAAATCCTCTTACCGACAAGAAAAGATTATTATGCCAAGAACTAGATCTAAAGAGAATGCATCATGTGGAAGCCATTCATCATGCTTTAAATAGAAGCCATTCATACCTTCCCACCACATCCCACTGGTCCCATGCACCAGATCATTCATGATCAACTGACCATTGACGCAGGACAAAACGTGGTGGTTAAGAAAATCAGAACTTAGGCTGATTAAAGAGTATTATGCAGCGAAAAATCAATAGAAAACTGTAGGGAATAAGGGTAGAAATCCCAGGAACACAGAGATAAGCAGTAGGAAAAGAGAAGAAAACCTAAGAATCACTCTTAGGGCCCTTTGGCGTCACACCACAGGAATCCTAGGCATCACACCAAGGGTTTAGTTGAGTCACACAACTGATGTTGAAAGCAAAAGCTCGCAGGAATTTTTATTAATCTGATAACTGTCTAAAACCCTCAAACGAGGTACATATATATAGGCCTAAAACTTAACCTAAACCAAAGACAACTAGAATTCTCACCTAATTTCCTTTCTATTCCAAGAAAATCCTGCAGCATAACTAATATACTAAATTACCCTTTCCTAAATATTAATACTGAAATAAACTAATTAAATTACTGCTTAATAAAGGATTAACTAAACCAAAGTCCTAACACTTTGGCTCCTTCCTTGGATCATGATAATCCTGGGCATAAATATGGAAGAACCTACTGATAGGGTTCTTCTACCATTCCTTGTCCCCATCAACCATTCTCTCACTAAACAGAAGTAGGCAATGATATTTTTGAAACTAACTCATAACTGAAATCCTTATCAAGTAGAGCGATAAGGCTTAAAAGTACGGTTCACTCTTTTTCACGCCATCCCTTCTCTAATCCAAAAGCATATTTTCCTCCATATTTACAACGTAATAACTCCCATCCCTTGACTAAACGTGGCCAGTCAAAAGTGTAACCAATAGAACTACACATCCCATACAGACGATACAAGAAATAACTAGATATTTCACTACCAGACTTCTTCAACCAATAAGACCAGTAATCTCGCTTCTACCTCACTTATACCTTTAGCAAACAACACAACATCATTTAACTAAATCCTTAATGTAACAAGCAACTATATTTTGTCCCCTGCAATGAACTCAGGAACAGCTCTAAGAAAGTTCACCGAAAATATAGTCTCTTAACAATTATTTTCAAGCAATATAAGAGGCACTGTATGAAATCTTACAAAAGGTTTCATTATTCCCAATAAACTATAGAATATGGACTACATATCGAGGAAAAATTAATAAAAGAAATGTGTGAAAACAAGTAGATTTACGTAATAAAGCTTTAAACAGGACATCTAGGAATGTATTCACTACAAATGAACTCTGGAAGATCCTTGAATTAAAGTACTCAATGTTCCATAATGTAAGAGAATAATCGAATTCGCAGACACTACAGAATGTTAATACATATAATTGAAGCATCTTTACAACATAATTTCTTCGGAAACTAAGGCATTGTTTGATCCAAGCTAGTCTCCCAAAAATCTCTCTTCAAGCAAAACAATATGCTTGCGGACCTTCCTCTTAAAGGTTATAATCAACAAAAATGATTACGTACGTTATATCTAAGTAGCATTTCCCTCTAAAAATAATGTTTGGATGGTAAATTTAACAGTCCTTTGTTATAACCGTCCAATTTCTAGTGCACCTTTTTACATTGCATAAAACATTTTTTTACATTACATAGGTAATGCTTTTGAACTTTGTGAAATTTACTCTGTAGAAACCGAACAGACCTCTAAAGTTTACTGTCTAGAAACCGATCAAGCAAACAACTTGTATAGGCTCGATTGAAAGAAGGAAGTGAATAAAGACTAACAGCTGTATACTTGTTGATTTAACCATAAAACATGAAATCACTTAAGTTAATCTCGAGAGGAAAAACTACTTGAAAGTTGAAACCAAGAAGAACAAATTCACTTTTCCAGTTTGGATCATATCACAAAACCGAACCCATGAAATCCAAAACCAAATTCGGTGCAAAAATAGAAAGAAATGGAAAACCCCATTTCATCAACAACAATGAAATGCCTTCAAAAAAATAGGTAAATTCAATTGATAAAAAACAAAGAACCCAGAAGATTAAGGGAGTAAAAAAGATTCAACCTTGGGGTTGGAGACATGGGAATTTTTCCGGATTTGGGCAGCGACAGAGGAGCGGAGCTCTGAAGGAGCAACAACATCTTGGAGGTTGTAAATGTCCATAATACTGGGAATGGATCTGCACGCCATCCTGAAAAAATCGAAGGTCCTTTTCCGTGCTTCTTCCAAACTCGTTGAGTTAGGCTGCACCTTCAAATTCCTCATCATATGCGCCATTTTTTTCACCCTTTTCCCAAGAAATTCAACTCTCTTCTCGCTCTAGCAGAGTCTATAAGTGGAAATGGCGTATGTGAAGGTGAAGGAAGAAGAAGAAGACGGGCTTTAACGATCTTACCATTATTGGGCTTCTCAGCTCGGCTTTTTTTATAGCTCTAATCCATCAGTCGGGCCCAAATTAACTTTTGCTTATTTGTCAAGAGTACAGCTATTTTGGAAGGAATTTTTCAATTAGGGATTCTGATGAAGGAACGATGTCGTACAGCAGAGACTCATCCACGCAGGATCGAATCTTAGCAAACCTTATTTATTTGTTTTGATTTTCTTTTACGATTCCTGGAAAGTGACTTTGTCCCGATGTAATTTCCTGGAAATTGCGTTGTTTTGTCACGCAGCTAGCATCTTCCCGTTATAAAAGGGATTGCTTTGCATTATCTAAATTATCATGGAATTAATATCAAATCTTCTCTATTTTTTCATCTAAAAACCTTGCTTTATTCTCTTATTCTATCATTTCTAACCCTGATCCTCTGATTCTGAAGTCTGTTTCTGGTGGCAACACCCTCTATCGATGACATTTAGTATCTCAGAGTCGGCGATTCTCATCGGATTCAATGGCAGAAGGCACTCGGTTAAAAGCTTCGAATGCTATAGATGAACAGATGAAAAAGTTTGATAGAAGAACAACGGACCTGGAGAAGATTATGGTCTTGATTCAGCAGAGTCAGATGATGATGCAGGAACAACTGAATCAGATCACTAATTTGCTCCATGGTATACAGGCGGCGGCAAAAGGGAAGAAACCCTTCAAGGAAGAAAGCTCCAACCTTTCTGCCGGAAGCGCATCGTGGTTGAATACCCCCGACACGCCTCCAAGAATCATTGTTCAAGAGGAAACTCTGACCAAAGAGAGACTGAACAAAGCTCCATTTGTCCACCTGCCACGCATGGAACTCAGTTTCTTCACAGGAGGAAACCCAAGGGAGTGGATCCATAAGTGTTATAAATACTTTACTTTGCATCAGATCCAAGAGGAGTATAAGGTTGAGACTGTTGAGATTTACTTGGACGGAAAGGCAGAAACATGGTATGATGGGTTTAATCCGGGAGGAAGAAGAGTTGGGTGGCCAAAATTCAAGGAAGCGTTGATAAGGAGATTTGAATTAAGAGGGAAGAAGGATGACATCAAGGAATTCACTAAACGTCGTCAAGAAGGACGTGTGTCGGATTACATCGATAAATTTAAAGATATGAAATCTAAGGTAATCAGGAACAACCCCACTCTGCCGGATTCTTATTTTGTCTCAAGTTCTATCAGCGGTTTGAAAGAGGAAACCAGCACAATGGTTAAAATGATGAATCCAGTGGGTTTGGAAAAAGTAATGGATGCTTCAATTTTGCAAAAGCAGAACTGAGAGATAATGAAAAGAAGCATGACTGGGAATCAAATCATACACAAACCAGTGAGCTCTCCAAATCGTGGCCACAACCCCCAATTTGTTGGAAGAAATGACAACAAGAAGCTGTTTCCGAATCATTTCAAGAGGATCACACCGCAAGAAATCCAGTACAGAACAAATCACAACCTCTGCTATAAGTGTGACGAGAGGTATGGACCTGGTCACCAATGTCCTAAGGTGTATTATGTGCTGACAAAAAAAAAAAAAAAAGGTGAAATGGATAATAGTGATATGGAGGTTATTGATGTTGCTGAAGGGTAATTAGCAGAGGAAAATGTAAGACACATATTTTTGAATGCGGTTAGAGGAAGTAAAGAAAAGAAGTCAATCATCATTAGGGGGGAGGCTGCATGGTAGATGGGTGAGTATTCTGATTGATTCGGGCAGTGACTCAAGCTTTGTGAATTGCAAGTTGGTTCGGTTATTGTCATTACATTATCAAAATACGCAGCCTTTCATTGCTAACATGGAGAATGGATCTAAGACTAGAGGTTCACTCAAATGTCCTTCATTATCTTGGGACATTCAAGCTTATGGATTCACGTTTGATTTCTTAATTATGGAGTTGGGGGGATTAGATGTCATGCTGGGAGTTGATAGGATGTCCACATTTAGTCCGGTAGCGTTTGATTATGAGAAGGAATGTATTCATATTACTCGAGTGACAGAACGCATGTGTTGTATTCGGGAGACATTGAACCAACTGTTGCTGCTATTCCTAGAAATGATCTTCGTGGTTTCATTGAGATTAGGCAAAGAGAAAAGTATTGTTCCTCCCATTGTCATCATGCTGTGGTAGAAGTTGAAAGCGAAGGAGAAGGAGAACAAGGAAAGCGGGAAGAACCTTTGCCTGAGGAATTGAAAGCCTTGCTGGAAAACTTTGATAAGGTATTTTCTCAATGCCCTCTGAACTTCCTCCTGAGAGAGATTGAGCATTGCATTGAATTGAAAATTGGGGAGCAGCCTTTTAAGGTTAAACCATATAGATATCCGCATTCACATAAGGATGAAATAGAGAAGCAAGTGGCTGAAATGTTAAAAAATGGGGTGGTTCAATACAGTGTTAGTCCTTATTCTTTCCCCAGTGTTACTTGTTAAAAAGAAAGGAGGCAAGTGGAGGTTTTGTGTTGACTGTAGAAGGCTAAATGAAATGACTGTTGAAGACAGCTATCCCATTCCAGTGATTGAGGAACTCCTTGATGAGCTTTTCGGGGCTAAGTATTTTTCAAAGCTCGACCTGAGATCGGGATATTTCCAAATCAGAATGAAAGTAAGTGACATTCCAAAGACGCTGTTTCAAACTCACCACGGACACTTTGAGTTTAAAGTGATGCCATTTGGCCTTACCAACGCTCCGGCGACTTTCCAGTCTCTTATGAATAGAGTATTCCAGCAGTTACCAAGGAAATGTGTATTAGTTTTTTTTGACGATATCTTAGTTTACAGCAAGACTTGGCTGGAGCATATGCAGCATTTGGAGTCTGTTTTGGAGATCCTGAAAAATCAGCAACCTTATGCCAAGCTGTCGAAGTGTGTTTTTGCAAGGAATCGGTGGAATATTTGGGTCACGTCATCTCAGGAGAGGGGGTTAGCATGGATATGGAAAAGCTGAAATGTATTCAAGAATAGCCAACTCCCAACTCAGTAAAAGAGCTGTGTGGTTTCCTGGCTTATCAGGTTATTACCGGCATTTCATTAGTAAACCTCTGACCATGTTGCTTAGGAAGGAAGGTTTTACATGGAATTAAGATGCTACACTCGCCTTTGAGAAATTGAAAACTGCTACCGTCTCAGCTCCAGTTTTGGCCTTACCGAATTTCGAGAAACCTTTTATCATTGAGATAGATGCATCTGATTTCGGTACGGGGGCGGTTTTAATGCAAGAAGGGCATCCAATAGCTTTTTTAAGCAAAGCTTTCAATTCAAAGAATCAGGCACAGTCTGTATACGAAAAAGAATTGTTAGCCTTTGTAATGGATATTTCAAAATGGAAATATTATGTGGTTGGCAACCACTTTGTGATTAAAACTGATCATCAAGCTCTTAAGTTCTTGCTTGAGCAGAAATTATCAACCTCTATGCAGTACAAGAGGTTGGTGAAACTTCTTGGTTTGGACTACGAAATTCACTATAAGAAGGGGGTCGAGAATAAAGTTGCTGATGCCTTATCGAGATTACATTCCAAAGAGCAAAATGAAGACGATGGAAGGGTTATAAACAACTATGCAGTAACTTTAGTAAGGCCAAAGTGGGTAGAAGAAGTATTGAAGAGCTATAAAGGTGATGAAAAAGTTCAAAAGATCAATGCTGAACTGGCCACAGGAGCAAAAGGTGATAGAGAATTTTAAGTGGTTAAGGGGCTGGTTAAGAAAAGAGATCGGTTATACATTGGGAGCTTTGACAACATAAATCGCCAAATCATGCAAACCTTGCATTCTTCTCATTTGGGAGGTCACTCTGGGCAGGCAGTGACTCTTCAACGAATAAAATCTCTCTTCTTTTGGCCTGATATGAAGACAGAAGTCGAGTAATTTGTGAGAACCTGTGAAGTGTGCCAACGTAACAAGGTAGAACACGTTCATTATCCGGGATTACTTCAACCATTGGAAATTCCTCAACAAGCGTGGAGGCATATTAGCATGGATTTCATCAAGAGGTTGCTATTATCACAACATGGTTTCGACACCATATTGTTGGTTGTTGATAGAATGACAAAGTATAGCCATTTTTATGCCCTAAAGCACCCTTTCATAGCAGTGCAAATCGCTGAGTTATTTATAAAAGAAGTCTACAAACTGCATGGCTTACCGGAGTCGATAGTGATTGATCAATCCCGGCTATTCACAAGTCATTTTTGGCAAGAATTATTCAAGCTTTTGAAGGTTCAACTCTGTTTAAGCACTGCCTATCATCCCCAAAGCGACGGACAGACGGAGCGAGTTAATCAATGCCTTGAAACTTACTTGCGTTGCTTTGCTAATCAGAAACCTTCATCTTAGAGTCACTGGCTACGTCTTGCGGAGTGGTGGTACAATACTTCCTAACATAGCAGCATCGACATGACTCCTTTTGAGGCTCTTTATGGAATGAAACCTATCCATGTTCCACTTAGAGAGTACGAGAATGTGATCATTCTAGCTGCACAAGACATGATCGAAAGGAGATGCGAGATAGATGGAACCTTGAAGGAACACTTGCAAAAGGCGAGAGACAGATGAAATTCTTCGCTGATCAAAAAAGGACAAAATGACACTTGAATGTGGGAGATTGGGTCTTCTTAAAGCTACAACCATTCATACAACAATCAGTAGAAGTGAGAAATTCATTGAAGTTGACATCATTATATTATGGCCCTTATGAAGTATTGGAACAGGTGGGTACTGTTGCCAATAAAAACAAGCTGCCTGATCACGCAAGGATTCATCCTGTTTCCCACATTTCCTTGTTGAAGAAACACCTCGGTTCCAAGCCAGTCAGCGCCAGAATACCGCCAGACTTTTCAATTCATGAAGACATCACCTTATCACTGGAAGCAGTGCTACAAAGGAGAATGATTAAACGAAATCAACAGCAAGTCGTGCAATGGCTCATCAAGTGGAGAGGTTTGGAAATTGCTGATGCTTCTTGGGAGGATTGCGACTTTGTCGTCAGTCAATTTCCTGCATTTAAAGCTTGAGGCAAGCTTTTTCTGACGAAGAGGCATTGTCACAAGTACAACTATTTTGGAGGGAATTTTTCAATTTTGGGGAATTAGGAATTCTGATAAAGGAACAATATCGTACAGCAGGGACTCATCCACACAGGATCGAATCTCATTAAACCTTATTTATTTGTGTTGATTTTCTTTTACGAAGCTTCCTGGAAGGTGACTTTGTCCTGATGTAATTTCCTGAAAATTGCGTTGTTTTGTCACGTAGCTAGCATCTTCCCGATGTAATAAGGATTGCTTCTGTATTATCTATTATCATGGAATTAATATCAAATCTTATTTGTTTCTTGATCTAAAAACCTTGTTTTATTCTCTTATTCTGCTCTTTCTAACCATTATCCTCTGATTCTAAATTCTGTTTCTGGTGGCAACATCCTCTATTGGTAACATTATTACATTCTCAATCTTTCCCAAATAGCAACCAAAGTGATTGTGGTGGAGTGGAAGAGACTCCTCTATCCTTAACCATAGTTCGAGGGTTCGAACCTTGCCATGGGCATGGGGTTCACCAACCGACTATTCAGTTTAACTCAACCTATAGATATGTGACTTTCGACTCTCATTAATCTCACGACAATTCACTAATTTAAGAATTATACACTCTCGTGTCATAACCCTCTTACTTAAACTAACCCTATGAAGCAACCTTAAATACTTTAGCCAGTTGTCCCACCCATCGAGGTGCCTACAATTCAGCGAGAGAGATTAGTCACTATTGACGATGGTGGACACCCTGCAAATATGACAAAAAAAATCCTTTCCCAAATAGCAAATTTGTTCTTCTTGTATTGACTACACCTTTCATCACATCGTCATGTGTGTATGAAAATTTATGTTAGAATTAATTTTGATCTTATATTAGGGTGTAATTCTATAGTGATTAGTTAATAATATTAATAATTGAAATGTTACTCATTCAACCAAAAAAAGGGAAGGAAAACATTATTATATAATTTAAACATTTCCACCATGCATGGTTTTTTGTTTTTTTGTTTTTAATTGAAATGTAAACAAAAAAAGTGGATTGAGAGGGTGTGAAGGTTGAGTATTACTTAGATATGAAATCGTTATTATACAGGGATTAATAACTCAAATTTAATAGAGTAATCAAAATGAAGTCATGGTTGAAGAATTTATTTATTTTTCGAGTGGATTGAAAATTTTAAGATGTACAATTATTGTGTGAGTGTTTCTGTTTCAATTATTGTTGGACAATTTCCAACATCAATAACAACAAACACAAATTTTCCTACTTAAAAAAAAGAAGAAGATAAAGTACAGAGAGAGTCAAGAGAGACAAATACAAAAGAAGGATGCTGTAGTTTTCTTTTACAAATTCAAACGTACAGTATTATTAATTTTTTATATTTTTTATAATAATAATGATTAAATCTACTACTAAACTACTAATACACAATTAAGAAAACAATGGGAAAAAAAAGAAAAGGAAAAAGTGCATCATCCCATTTCTACCCTTGTCATTTCTCTCTCTTCCATTGGTTTCACCACCACCTCTCGCTCTAATCTTCCTCCATTTCCCAATTCTCTCTCTTTCTCCACCCACACAGCTCCAACGACGTCGTTACGGGAGAAGGAAGGGCCTCGGAAGAACTACAAAGCAAGAACCCATCTTTGGGTTCCAATAACTCTCCGTTCAGTTTGTCGAGGCACTCTATTCAATGAGCTCCGATCCGGCGGTTGTGTCTTCCGGCGCCGTTCATCATGGCGGTCTTGATGAGCAGATTTCTCAGCTTATGCAGTGCAAGCCCTTGTCTGAACAAGAGGTTTTCTTTGTTCCTTTTTTTTGCTATTATTATTCATTTCTCTCGTACTCTTCCTATTTAGTTTCGTGAAATGCTTTGGCTTTTTCCCCTATGTGATTTGATTTATTTTATTCCCCCGATTTTGATGTAGTTCTTTTTTGTTTTTCTGAGTTACAGGCTGATTTATGTATAACATATATATATATGTGTATGTATATTTATATGTTTTCTTTTCTCGCTTTTATGTAGTTTTTGGTATTTTGTGTTCAATCTGGTGTTGCTGTGGGGTGGGGATTCGTATTGTTGAGCAGATCCGTTTGAAATTCAAATGACGATGGGGAATTTTTTTTTTCTTAGTTGGTCAAAAGATTTGAACTGCCTAATTTCCATTTGCTGGAGAAAGCACAACATCTGTCATTGCTTGTTTTTCTGTTCGAGAATTGCTCTGCATCTTTTATACTGCTTTCAAGAATTTGAGTGGTAGTTTGTAGCTCATGTGGCAATGTTTTGCTGAAATGGTTATTCAATACTAGAACGGATAACATTTGTTTCATCTTAGATGTGAGTAGCGTTTTGATTGGGCAGAGAAGAGTGGTTGGGCAGTAGTAGTGGTGGCTAGTGACCCATCAGTTTATAGTCATGCATCCCTACATTGGTCTAAACTACGGTTTTGAGCGCCAACAGTTTTTCTTTCTACTTTCATCTGCTTGCACTTTATAGGATTAGGACCTGGAATGTTTGGTTGCACATTAGTACCTAATAATATTGACATAATGATACTTAAAATATATGTCCTTTTTCCTTTTTAATCTCCTGTTACTAACTTACCATTAAAGGACCTATTTGTTAGTCTCATATCATCGGTGTTTTTGATGAGAACCATCTTTCCTCAAGTGACTTCTCTGTTTGTACTGTAGGTCAGGCAGCTATGTGAGAAAGCCAAGGAGATTTTAATGAAAGAGAGCAATGTCCAGGTAAAACTTCTCTAATGTCTTTTCGTATTTGCCTGTAGCTCTTCTGTACAAAGATGGGGGCTTTTAGAGATTACAAGTAGAAATCCCATCCGAAGGGGGAAAAAAAGCTTCTTTATGAGGTGGGAATGATGGGTCTCTCGGTAGGAGAGGGAAAAAATTACACTCTAGTTTCTTAATGTGCTTGCAAGTTAGGCATTCTGAAATGAACCATTTCTGGCTTGGTTATTGCCGCAGCATATTCATGGAAGAAAGTCTAACCTGGGCTGTTCTCAGCAGCCTATCTGCCATTCATGGTCCAGCCTTACTAGTGTTTATATGAATGAAACTGCCTTATATGTCCTCGTTGCGCGCTTAGGGATGTTTAATACACTAATTGCAACAATATATATAGGCTAAAACAGAGAATTCAGTCATTTTCTGCAAAGGAATATTTTTGTTATGCGTTGGAAGAATTTGTTCATTTCTTGCTTATAAATAGGCGTGTTAAGTATTCTTTATTGTGGACTACTACTTTGGACTTTTCTTCCATCTTTGAGATTAGTTCATGCTGAGTTTCGGTTTCTTAACCCATCTCTGATCTCTTGATAATACTTGTGGGGGAAAGTTTACGTGTAAATTTTTTTTGATAAATGCGGAAGGAAAGTATAAATGTATCACCCTTTTCTCGAGTAAGGTTTGCAGCCGATTCTGTGCATGTGTGGAAATGGCCTTTCTTTTTCTTTAGTTGGAAATTTAGTCTCCAAAAATTCCTTGGATTTGTTGGTGAAAGTTTCTCCACTGCTTTATGTATCTCTCAACGTCAGTTTATCAGTTCCTGAAGTTGTATTGGACCAGTTGACTTGCAGAGTCCAAACTATTCTTCTTCTTCTTTCGTTTTTTTTTTTTTTAAGAGTTTTTAACTGATAAAGAACTTTCCTTTGAAGCTAGGAAATTTAGCTTGCGACCTGGAGTTTACTTCCTTTTTTGTCTTTAGTTGGTTCTGTTGTACAGATTTATCAAACTTTAATATTCTGTATTTTCGTGAGTATATTGGGAAGTTTCTTGATCTTTTTCCCTTTTCTGCAGCCTGTGAAAAGCCCTGTGACCATTTGTGGTGATATTCATGGACAATTTCATGATCTGGCAGAGCTTTTTCGAATTGGCGGCAAGGTACCTGCTATTTAATACTTACCATGTAGACTGTTGAAAAAATTAAAGTTTTTTTGGTGGAAGAAAGGTGTATTGGAATTTGAAAACTGGAAATGGGACATAAATGAGAAAAAAAAATCTGGGTTTCCAAGCCCGAAATAACTGCTCGTATTGTGTATTGTCTTACAATAGCACCTATTTTTTTATATTCTCATGAAGTGCTTCATTTTATGGAAGTTTGTGGTGTGCATCTTCATCTGTATTGTTAGGTCAACCTCTTGTCTGGAATTTATTAATTGAAGGTGTATTTTTGTTTTTGGAGTGAGCAGTATGATTTCTTGGACTGTCTTTCATTCTTATTCCTTGTGACCTAAATGCTTCAAGTAGTGGTGGCAACCCTATAGTTTATTCCTTTCCCTTTCCTTTTATACCATCTATTGCTTTGAGTCTTGAGGTTATCATGGCGCCCTAGTAATTTGGGTTGCCTGGTTCTCCTGGATGTGGTCGCATCTTATTATCGATCTGCAGTAGTTAGGGATGCGCATAGATCTTGCTCTTTCTGTCTCTTGCTTTGTCTTTTTATCCAATTTGTTTATCTTTGTCTCTTCTCGTTGGAATGTGAGCTCAGTGCTATTGCCACCTTTATATGCTGCCTTGTTTTAGAAATTACTTCATCCTTTCATGAATGATACTTGATGTTGCTTTTGCATTTGTTGTTGCTTACTTACAATTTGGTTTTGATTGTCTTTTTGATAAACTACGCCCTATTATTATATTCCAGAGAGCTAACTAATTTATTTCTCTGTCATCTTAATCTCTATATTACTTCAGTTTCATATCTAAGGTATATTTCTTTTATTGCAGTGTCCAGATACAAATTATTTGTTTATGGGAGATTATGTTGATCGGGGCTATTATTCAGTTGAAACCGTAACGGTGAGTGTACATTGCCTTTGGAGTATTATTAAGAACAAGTTGCTTTCATGGGTACATTACGAAGATGTCCTGGAGAAATTTGCTGCTGTGAATTGCTTCTTTCTTTTGTTTACTAATGGTTTAATGCAATGGCCGATCATTGGGAAATTTTTGGATGGCAAACTAGTGTATTTTGTATCATGAATGTTGCAAAGGTTAAAATTGGACCTGCCTGGGCACGATTATCTTTGTACTGGGGCTTCTATTAAGTGGAGGATGCATGTTAAGCCGTTTCTTTCTTTTTCTAAGTTGATTGTTTACTCTTTATATGATGATGCTCCCTTTACAAGCAGCAACATTTACCAACTTCTTTTAAAGAACAACTTCTTTTGAAGCATTTTCTCTGGCTCTGCTGTGTTTCTTTTGTCTCTTTCTGCTTGTAGCGGTGTCCTTTTAAATCATTACCGTGCGTTTGGCTTAGGAAGTTGTTTTAAGTGTCTGATATTCAAGCTAGGTGTTTGGCCACCGCTGATTGCATCAAATAAGTTTTTTTTTTTTTTTTTTAATTTTTTTTATTGCTTTGAGTAAAACAGCTTCCTATGATAAAGTTGGTCAATACAATTTCTAAATTAATGTGGGTTGAGCTCTATAGCTTACATGTTATCTTATTCTGTAGTAGTATCGCTTCAATTTTTCATTCAGGCCCTGTGGTCACGTGGATATGCAAATTTGTTTTGTTTCTTTGGTGATTGTGATGATTTTTGGTTTATAATTTGTCCTTTTTTTCTTTCCCAGCTTCTTGTGGCCCTCAAAGTGAGGTACCCGTCACGAATTACTATTCTGAGAGGAAATCATGAGAGTCGCCAGGTTTATTATTCTTGCTCTTTATTTTTATTGCACATTGTAATATTGCTTTTATATTGGTCCCATTTCTTTCCATAAGGATTTCTCTTGGTTAGCCGAATGCTAATATAATCCTAAATTGTTTTGAGCTGGTTTTGGTCAACATGCGCATTTTTAGTTTGGCATTTTTCCATTTTAAAATTTAATTGCATTTGTTGTCTTACATATACTTCATATAGGCTGATTCACTGTAGGATTTCTCTCTAGTGATAATCTTTAAGTAGTCCTTTTGGTTCTGGATGTGTAGTGCTGAAGTACCTTTTTTCTTTATCCTTCAGATTACTCAAGTGTATGGATTTTATGATGAATGCCTGAGGAAGTAAGTTTCTTGTCGCTTCTTAAACTTCAGGTTTTAATTTGAACATGCGAAGTTCTTTTGTCTACTTTTGATACCAGATCAGGTTTTCCAACTTTATTGATTAGGCTCACTCTCCTGTGAACTGCATTTTTTTTTTTTATTTTGCTAATTGATTATTTGTATTCCTGAAGTCCAAGATAATCTGGACACATTTTGTCATCTTCATCTGTGTTCTTCTGTTATAAAAGAAAGCTGTTGCATGAGCTCTTAAATGTTCAGGTCAAGGGGAAGGGTTGGGGTATTAAGACTTACTATATGCATTACTTTCCAATGGTCTCTTTTTTATTAGAGGCTTCTGCTGCTACTAGAAGGATAGGGCAAGATTTTTTTTATTTTATATTTTTTTTCCTGGTTGATAACTGTTTCTGTTGGATGAATTTCTCCTCTTGTAAGTTTCCCCAAATATCTACTTGCTTTTTGTTGCTCAAGTCTTTGTATGATGACAAACATTACAAGAGTCCAAGGGGTTTTAAATTCCATTTAATTTTTTTGACATGAATGGCTTCATAATAGTTGTCATCTTTGAGTTTGCCCATTCTTTTGCTTTATTGTGAATTGTACTATACCAATTGTCACTAATGCCATGGTCATTTGCCATGGTTGTAAAACTGAAGTTGCTGATACATATCTTTTTGTATCTTGCAGATATGGAAATGCAAATGTGTGGAAGACTTTTACTGATCTATTTGATTACTTTCCTCTCACCGCATTGGTAATTGGTGTTCCTTGTACTTTATATTTTTCTTAGCCTTGGGGAGTGATCGATGTTGTGTTTTGTATAACCCATCTCAGTCAAGTTGATGTCCTGCCCTATTAGTAAACTATAATCATGGCGTTGGTATTGTTTTGCTTGTGTTGGAGCATTGTCTGCAGTAGTTAATTTAATGAAGTGCCAAGTGTTATATGCCAGCTTGTACAATGTTCTTTTTTCTTTCTTCTTCGTCTTCTTTTTTTTTTTTTAATTTTTTTTTAACATGTGATTTTACTTTTCTGGAAGAAGATTATCCTTTTTCTCAAATATTTTCTTCCTTAATTCCAACTGCTAATTTTGATATCTTGTCTTGAACTTTCCAGGTTGAGTCAGAAATATTTTGTCTTCATGGAGGTTTGTCTCCTTCAGTTGAAACACTAGACCACATACGTAATTTTGACCGTGTACAAGAAGTTCCTCATGAGGGAGCCATGTGTGATCTTCTATGGTCTGATCCTGATGATCGATGTGGTTGGGGCATTTCACCTAGGGGTGCTGGATACACATTTGGCCAAGTACATGCTACCCTTTGACTGAGTTTTTCCCCTTTGATCTGTAATTTTGCATTATCTAAAGCCTCTTTATTCTTGCTCCCTGACAGGATATTTCAGAGCAGTTTAACCATACCAACAACTTAAAGCTCATTGCTAGAGCACATCAGTTGGTCATGGAAGGATATAACTGGGCTCATGTAATTAATTCTCTTTTAAAACAATCTTTTCTTCCGATTTTCTCTCCAATATATGGTGACCTTATGTTATGCAATTTGTTACAGGACCAGAAAGTTGTTACCATATTTAGTGCGCCTAATTATTGCTACCGCTGTGGAAACATGGCGTCCATCCTTGAAGTGGATGATTGCAGGGCCCACACATTCATTCAGGTACACCTTTCTGTTGACATTTCTTGCATGTTTATTACATCGACTGGCACGGATTTTGAAAAAAGGATGTCTAGTTCAGTGACAATTGAAAGTTTAAAATAGATTTGCGTTGAGGTTCTGAGTAGTAAATTTATTGTCGCAGTTTGAGCCCGCTCCTCGAAGAGGAGAACCGGATGTAACTAGGAGAACACCAGATTATTTCCTATGATTCACTACATAGGGTTCACTGACGTTGCTGCCACAGTTATAAGAGCGTTGCGTTCTGTCACTGAAGTACTCTGGATTTTTTAGTTTATCGTTTCCTAAGAGGTGGCCTTGGCAGAAAGTGTGATGTACAATCCGCAGATGATTGAAGTTGCTATTTTGAGACTGTTGACCGGAACTGCTGTGGAGGCACTGTTACTGGGAGAGTGGTTGCTGCTTATGTAGTGGTTCTTGGATGCAGCATCCTGTTTTTTTTTGTTCCTCGTATGTCCATTGTTCCTTTTTTTTTTTTTTTTTTCAAGTCTCCCGGGATTCTGAAACAAATTCTTCCATGTTACTATAGTCTCGTTTCTTTTGTAGGACCATTTTGATCGAGCTTTTTTTAAAATTGTGTTCCCTTGTAGGATAGACCTCTTTTTGTATGGATTTTTTCTGTAGAGAGATGTGGTTCCAATGGTTTTGTATTCTACTGCTTCAAGCCTTGGGAGTAATGATGCATTGTCATTGTACCCGTGAGTGCATGCAGTAACTAACAATTTTACAGGATGAAATGTCTTGAAATTAATTCGCTGTCTAGATAGATTCGAGAAGGTTGGGGTTCCACCATGGTCATAATCCGGGGAAACAGAAAAGTTACTGCATATGCACAAGTTTTTCCAATCTTTACACAAATGTTCATGTTATAAGGCCCTGCGATTATATACATGGGTAAACAAATTTATATGTTCCGGATTGCTATTTATTTCGTGATGCCTGATTACATAATAATCTGAGGGTTAATCCTAGAAACTCCTGTTCTATTACAGTTTGATTTTGCAATTTAACGTTACAAATTGTATACGTACAAATTGATAGTCGATTCTAACATTTGGGTTGTTCTATTCTATCACCTGTTCCGATCGATCCTAAATCATACGAGATCAAATTTATATCTCTATATATATTATATATATTAAAGGAAAGTTTTCAATCGGATACATGGTGCAAAATTAGATAGGGTAATTTACACGGTAAAAAATTAGATAACCAAGTTCACATGTCTCAACCACGTCACTTTATCATTTAATGGTAAATTTTTAATATAAAATATTTGTAAATTTATAATTAAAACTAAATTAACTAAAACCAAAAGTAAAAGTAAATAACAAAATTGTACTCCATGTCTCCATCTTTGATTGCGTTAACCCAAAAAACTCTAATAAAAAAAGCATCATCTTAATAATATTCACCCTAATCACACGTTAAAAAAATTACCCTAATCAAAATCTCTGCATAATTCCGCTTCCTCTCCACCCTAATAGAATTCACCCTAATCACACTTTAAAAAATTACTCTATTAAAAAATTTAGCATGCTTCTAATTCTATAACAATTATGATCGTAATAAAATTTGAAATATTCTTCTTCCCTCTATCATTTAGAGATAATTTTTAATGTAAAATTATAAATTTAAAGTTAAACTGAATTAACTAATAACTACAAAAGATTAAAAAAAGAGTAAAATTAACGAAATTGTACTCCATCTTTGATTACGTTAGCCAAAAAAAAACAAATAAAACGTCACCTTAATAAACAATTAATTCACCCTAATCACAAGTTAAAACGTTACCCTAATCATTTTTTGATTATAAAATGTCAATGAAAAATAACTTAACAATCCACTACTTTCAGTTAATTAAGAGAATACTTTTAGAATATATAAAATCATAAATAAACAAAACAAAAAAGGTAGACAATAAGTTACATGATTTCGAATATTGAAAATAATTCCAAATGTAATTAAAATAAAAAATACATTAATATTAAAATTTATACAATTGTAATTTATATAATTAATATTATCTTGATTAGCTCGCACAACGTGTGGGGTAAACAATAGTTTATATATAATAGGAGAGTTTTCAATCGGCACGTATCACGTAATCGAATAGTCCAGAGACTTCTCATCCACTTGTCAAGCTCACGTTTCTCTTTGACACGTGTTAATAAAAGAGGCTCTCTTTCATTAAATCGTTAAACTTTTTGGTAAATTGCTTACTTTTATTCACTTATCACCCATCTGTTTCACCCTTTTTTTTTTATTTTTTTAAATTAATTACATATAGTTATAATGTTCTTAGTCCCCCCAAAAAAAAGAAAATAAAAATCATATCATCATTAATGAAATAATAGAACGTGGTTACTAATTCAAAATTAAAATATTTACCTAAAATATTCCATATAATCTTACTTATTAGCTTCTATCCTATAAATAAATTTGCCAAGAGACAATCATTCATTAAAGTGTAAATTTCTTTCAGTAAATTTGTTGTTACTTCAAGTTACTTTTTCACTAATGTTAATCTTTATTACATTCCAATCAAATTATGAAAACTCTCTTTCCTATCACCTTTACTGCATTTTAGGTTTTTTTTTTTATTTTAATTTTTTATCCCGCGTGGTGTGTTTTGTAAGCTTAATTAAATAGTGGATTTGTTATTAAACCAATATTAATATATTTATGAAAAGGATAAGGTTAACTAGAAAGTCCCTTCAAAAAGTGATACAAACATAACTAATTGAAATCATTTCCAAATTAAATTAGTTGAGACTCATATCTTGAAATTAATCAAAAATGACTTTTCAAATTGTAAACTTTTAACGCACTACAAGGGTCCGTGATCATATCAATAATCTATTGTGATCGGATCATGATTCTTAAAAATAATTTTCCAAATATTTAAAATTTTAAAAAATGTAACCATTATCCGATACATTAATTGTTCTATTAGCCCGAAGAGCCTATATAAGTATGTGACACAATCTTCTATGCCGAACAGTGCCAAGAAAAGTCCACTGTATCCACCCAAAAATCTCCAACATGGGAGAAGAATTTGACTTCAGATGAAGAATTTGGCTTCTGAAATGATCCTGTGCCTATGAGACTTTTAGCACTTCTTTGAATTTTATCATCGAAGGTATGTCAATGAAACACACACGGGCACACTCATTCTAGCATCATTGTATTGTTTGTATACTGGAATGTTATCATTATTATTATTTTTTTGGTAATTTTATGTTCGAAGTAAAAAATGTGTTCTTTAATGTATTGGCACAGGGAAATCTGTTACTGCTACGTACCTAAGTAGGAGTTTGGAATACTTTCTTCTTTTCTTTTGGGAACGGGAAAATGAGTGTGCAAAATTATTGTGTTAAGTTCAATACGGATTTGTTCGATCTTGTGCGATAAATGCTGCCCAGTTTTCCCTCCTTTGGCTGTAATTTAATCTTTTATAGTTCATAAAAAAACTTCTAGATAAAGTAATTGTAATGGTATTAGCAGAAGATTTCCCTTACACGATAGTTTTGAGTTCAGAAAAGGGTTCCATACATACTAAGATATATAGAGTTGAATAAATACTAATTAGGTTTCAATCTTCAAAGAGCAGAAAATAGTGACGTGACGGATGATGCTCCATCCAACTATGTAATTGCAGAAAAAGTTCATAAGTGTAGCTACTAGCTGCATCTTCCTAGAATTTTACAATATGGGAAATTTGGCTGGTCGAATATAAATATTCATTTTACATTATGGTGTTGCAATATAAGAACCGCCCGTGATCTTTTGAAATTATGTCACTCAAAAGCTAATTTAGGTTGAGCAGGATATTGTGATGCGGATTGTATTCGTAGTGATGTCATTTTTTTGATTCTCTTTTCTTTTATTTTAAAAAATAAAAATCATTTGACCAAAAAAAAAATAAAAATAATGGATTCTCTTATGTCAGAGAATAAATTCAAATCAATGCACTTAATAACAATATTCAAAAAATAAATGTTTTTAGTTACAATATTCAAGCAAGATTTTGATCTTGGTTTTTAACTTAAATTAATGCGTTGCCTAATTACATTGAATTTTCAATATGCATTTTCTTGAGGATCATTACAACTTCAATATACAAAGAAGGACCAGTAATCAAAATGAATGATTCTTCCATAATAGCAACTGTTGGTAGATCTCCTATATTAAAAATCAATAAACAACATCAATCAAAGACTACATTCACAAAAAAATCCTCAAAAAAAAAAAAAAAAAGAATGGGTGAAACAAATTCCCAAACAAAAATGCCTAAAATATGATTTTCTGCACTTTCAAAGGCAAACACATTTTGAGCTCAATCTTGCGATCAACTAATTGACAAGCCATAACAACAACAATAAATATGAATTTACCTGAAAAGGTTTAAGATAAATAACAAGTAAGAAAATAACCAGAAAACATGAGAATCGGACCTCTCAAATCGAGAAGTCAACTTGGAATTTTTTCCAATTCAACAAGATTAGATTATCATTCGACTAATATTTTTCCCTCAATTTATTTTTGCACTACAACCATTACTCCTAAAACCACAATCAAACTAAGTAAAAGTTTATATATAATAGAATTTAATTTCATGAACCCAATCCGGGTCTTTTCCAACAAATGGATTTAATTAAATTTCAATGCCTAATTATTCATTGTCAATTATAGCTTTGATATTGAGAAAGAAAATAAAAACAATCCTAAGTTACCTTTCTTTCTTTCTTCTTCTTTTTTTTTTTCTTTATTCTCAGCTCTTTTCTCTCTCTTTCTTCATTCTTTGTTTTCACATTATTCTTTCCGCCTCTCGCCCAGATGGAAGCTTTCCTTTCTCTTTTTCTTTGTTTCTTTGTATATTTTCTTTAAAACAAAAAATATTACCCAGTAGATCTCACTCAAATGTGAGTAAAACTCCCATTGATATATCCTTCGGTGAGAATTGAATCTGATCTAATATAAAAAAGTAAAACATCTTTAAGTACTATATTGTTATTCAATTCGTCCTGTTTCATTGCATGTTTTAGAGGATCAAGAAATGATGAAAAGTGAGGGCAATAATGCATACAAGTGAGAATGGGGTTGGACGGTGGTTCTAAAATAGATGATATTAGTATGGTGAAATTCGATTTGGAAATGTAATAGTGCAGAAAATAATTTTTTAAAAAA